CTGGAGTGGATCCTTAGTGCCCGTGCTGTGGTGAAGTGTCTGGAGTGGACCCTTAGTGCCCGTGCTGTGGTGAAGTATCTGGAGTGGATCCTTAGTGCCCGTGCTGTGGTGAAGTGTCTGGAGTGGACCCTTAGTGCCCGTGCTGTGGTGAAGTGTCTGGAGTGGACCCTTAGTGCCCGTGCTGTGGTGAAGTGTCTGGAGTGGATCCTTAGAGCCTGTTCTGTGGTGAAGTGTCTGGAGTGGATCCTTAGTGCCCGTTCTTTGGTGAAGTGTCTGGAGTGGATCCTTAGTGCCCGTTCTTTAGTGAAGTGTCTGGAGTGGCTCCTTAGTGCCCGTTCTGTGGTGAAGTGTCTGGAGTGGCTCCTTAGCGCCCGTTCTGTGGTGAAGTGTCTGGAGTGGCTCCTTAGTGCCCGTTCTGTGGTGAAGTGTCTGGAGTGGATCCTTAATGCCCGTGCTGTGGTGAAGTGTCTGGATTGGATCCTTAGTGTCCATTCTGTGGTGAAGTGAAGTGTCTGGAGTGGATCCTTAGTGCCCGTTCTGTGGTGAAGTCTCTGGAGTGGATCCTTAGTGCCTGTTCTGTGTGTGAAGTGTCTGGAGTGGATCCTTAGTGTCCATTCTGTGGTGAAGTGTTTGGATTGGATCCTTAGTGCCTGTTCTGTGGTGAAGTGTCTGGAGTGGATCCTTAGCGCCCGTTCTGTGGTGAAGTGTCTGGAGTGGATCCTTAGTGCCTGTTCTGTGGTGAAGTGTCTGGAGTGGATCCTTAGAGCCCGTTCTGTGGTGAAGTGTCTGGATTGGATCCTTAGCGCCCGTTCTGTGGTGAAGTGTCTGGAGTGACTCCTTAGTGCCCGTTCTGTGGTGAAGTATCTGGAGTGGATGGATCCTTAGTGCCCATGCTGTGGTGAAGTGTCTGGAGTGGATCCTTAGTGTCCATTCTGTGGTGAAGTGTTTGGAGTGGATCCTTAGTGCCTGTTCTGTCGTGAAGTGTCTGGAGTGGATCCTTAGTGTCCATTCTGTGGTGAAGTGTTTGGAGTGGATCCTTAGTGCCCTGTTCTGTGGTGAAGTGTCTGGAGTGGATCCTTAGAGCCCGTTCTGTGGTGAAGTGTCTGGATTGGATCCTTAGAGCCCGTTCTGTGGTGAAGTGTCTGGATTGGATCCTTAGCGCCCGTTCTGTGGTGAAGTGTCTGGAGAGGATCCTTAGTGCCTGTTCTGTGGTGAAGTGTTTGGAGTGGATCCTTAGTGCCTGTTCTGTGGTGAAGTGTCTGGAGTGGCTCCTTAGTGCCCGTTCTGTGGTGAACTGTCTGGAGTGGATCCCTAGAGCCCATGCTGTGGTGAAGTGTTTGGAGTGGATCCTTAGTGCCCGTTCTGTGGTGAAGTGTTTGGAGTGGATCCTTAGTGCCTGTTCTGTGGTGAAGTGTCTGGAGTGGATCCTTAGTGTCCATTCTGTGGTGAAGTGTCTGGAGTGGATCCTTAGTGTCCATTCTGTGGTGAAGTGTCTGGAGTGGATCCTTAGAGCCCATTCTGTGGTGAAGTGTCTGGAGTGGATCCTTAGTACCTATTCTGTGGTGAAGTGTCTGGAGTGGATCCTTAGTGTCCATTCTGTGGTGAAGTGTTTGGAGTGGATCCTTAGTGCCTGTTCTGTGGTGAAGTGTTTGGAGTGGATCCTTAGTGCCTGTTCTGTGTGGTGAAGTGTCTGGAGTGAATCCTTAGTTGCCCGTTCTGTGGTGAAGTGTCTGGAGTAGATCCTTAGTGCCCCGTTCTGTGGTGAAGTGTCTGGAGTGGATCCTTAGTGCCCGTGCTGTGGTGAAATGTCTGGAGTGGATCCTTAGTGCCCGTTCTGTGAAGTGTCTGGAGTGGATCCTTAGTGCCCGTCTGTGGTGAAATGTCTGGAGTGGATCCTTAGTGCCCGTTCTGTGAAGTGTCTGGGAGTGGATCCTTAGTGCCCATTCTGTGAAGTGTCTGGAGTGGATCCTTAGTGCCCGTGCTGTGGTGAAGTGTCTGGAGTGGATCCTTAGAGCCCGTTCTGTGGTGAAGTGGGATGGTGACATGTTAAGCTTCTGCTAGGTGTGCATCTCATGAGAAAACACATGGGAGAAGTAAGGATCCTGATGGAACCAACGCTGAGCAAACCTGGTTGGGTTAGGGGATGGTGGAGGATGGAGGAGTTGAAGCACTATCCTGGAATCACATGAAGACATCAGACCTGGTGCAAGAAGAGTCTCCAGCTGGAAGAGCGTCATTGCTACAGGTGACCAGGAGCATGGTGATTGGGTGTACAGGGCACTCCACGTCTCTGACACACTATATGTGCATGTGTGTAGGTGCAATGGAGCACCGGGAGCACTGTAGACCCTGCGCAGCCTGTAGTTAGTCCTCAAGCCAGCCATAGATGGTTCAAATCTGGGCCGGTTCATCAAGTACTGACCAAGGTTCAAACCATCTATGGGCAGGCAGATTGTACCCAAGTCAATCCATCGATCAACTTGGGGTACAAACAGCATGTTGGATTTTTATCTGCGATTATTGCCAGTGAATATAGCCAATAGCAATATTCACTGTGTTCTCCCAGCAGGGACGGCCCTCCACGGACCCTCCCCAGGAGAAAAAGAAAAGAAAATCGCATCGTTTATGGGTTGCCTTATGCAGGCCATAGACAGGGGAGGAAAACGGCCGATTTTTCTTTTAAAAAATGAAAAATTGGTCGTTCAAGCGGCCGACTTTACCACCAATGGTAAAAAAAATCGGCTGATTTTCATCCTGTCTACAGCCGGCAAAAAGTGTCCCTGCAGAGAGCTCCGCTATTTCTTTGACAGTTCTTTGACATTTACAGTGGTTGCAACAATGTATCTATTTGTTTCCATTTAGGATACAGAGATGTTTTTATTCGGAAACAAATAGATACAATGTTGCAACCTCTGTAAATGTCAAAGAACTGTCAAAGAAATAGCGGAGCTCTCTGCAGGGACACTTTTTACCAGACTGGAATTCCTCTTATTTTTCATTCTTCTTCTTCTTCTCCTTCTTCATCATCATCCTCTTCTTCTTCTTCTTCTTCATCATCATCCTCTTCTTCTTTTTCTTCATCATCATCATCATCCTCTTCTTCTTCTTCATCATCATCATCCTCTTCATCATCATCATCATCCTCTACTTCATCATCATCATCATCATCCTCTTCATCATCATCCTCTTCTTCTTCTTTTTCATCATCATCATCCTGTTCTTCTTCTTCATCATCATCCTCTTCTTCTTCTTCATCATCATACTCTTCTTCTTCTTCATCATCATCATCATCATCATCATCCTCTTCTTCTTCATCATCATCATCTTCATCCTCTTCTTCTTCCTCTTCTTCTTTTTCTTCTTTTTGTCTTCCTCTTCCAGGTCACTGCTCATGCGCAGATTTTTTATCGGTAAAAAATCGGCCGATTTGCCCATTATTGCTGCGAAAATCGGCCGATTTTTTCCCCAATTTTACCGATAAAAAAACCCGCCCAAAATACCGAAAAACGGACTTCCGAACAAATAGACCACTAACGATCCGAAAGGGGCCGATTTTATTTTCGGACAAAAAAATCGGCTGATTTTCGACCCATCTATGGCCTGCATTAGTCTGCCCTGATTCAGGTGGGTCCCAGAGGAGAGAATGTGAGTCTGGGGCCCACCCATGGGTTGAATACAGTCCTCTTCCTTGGTTTTCGATATTATGACATTTCCTTTGTCTAAAATTCAGGAAGTTAGAAGAGTCCTAACTTCTGCTTTACCGACAGATTCTCACATCTTGCTGGACGCGGCCGCCATGTCTGCCATCTTCATCGTCGTATTCCTGTGTAAGTACAAAGACGTTTCTTCTATATTTTATCTGTGATTTAGCCGAGAGCCTTTTGTGTGCTACAGAGAGACACAGGAATTATAACACCTAGAAAATACATAATACACACATACTGTTCAATATAAAACAAACACAAACAACAACACAAAGTACAAAACACACAGCAAGCACAGGACATAAAACACAATATATAAACACAATATATAAACACACGGAATACACAAAACTTGTGTCAATCAGTAAGTAAAACCATTAAGTTGGCTCAGATTTATAATACTTTCAATTAGTTAGATTGTTAGTTGTTGTTTGACCTCATTTTTTTTTCTCATTTTCAAATTTCACCTATTTATAAAATTCATGCTGATGATATATGACAGGGGCTCTAGACAGGTAGGAGGGGACTGCTGAGATATAGGAGGGGCTCTAGGCAGGTAGGAGGGGACTGCTGAGATATAGGAGGGGCTCTAGGCAGGTAGGAGGGGACTTCTGAGATATAGGAGGGGCTTTAGAAAGGTAGGAGGGGACTGCTGAGATATAGGAGGGGTTCTAGACAGGTAGGAGGGGACTGCTGAGATATAGGAGGGGCTCCAGACAGACACGAGAGGACTGCTGAGATATAGAAGGGGCTCTAGACAGGTAGGAGGGGACTGCTGAGATATAGGAGGGGCTCTAGACAGGTAGGAGGGGACTGCTGAGATATAGGAGGGGCTCCAGACAGACACGAGAGGACTGCTGAGATATAGAAGGGGCTCTAGACAGGTAGGAGAGGACTGCTGAGATATAGAAGGGGCTCTAGACAGGTAGGAGGGGACTGCTGAGATATAGGAGGGGCTCTAGACAGGTAGGAGGGGACTGCTGAGATATAGGAGGGTCTCTAGACGGACAGGAGGGGGACTGCTGAGATATAGGAGGGGCTCTAGACAGGTAGGAAGGGACTTCTGAGATATAGGAGGGGCTCTAGACAGGTAGGAGGGGACTTCTGAGATATACGAGGGGCTCTAGACAGGTATTATCAGGAGGGGGGACTGCTGAGATACAGGAGGAGCTCTAGACAGGTAGGAAGGGGCTGCTGAGATACAGGAGGGGCTCCAGACAGACACGAGAGGACTGCTGAGATACAGGAGGGGCTCTAGACAGGTAGGAAGGGACTGCTGAGATATAGGAGTTATAGGCCACTGGAGGGATTGGCCGAGAGAGGTGGCAGACATTGAATGGAGGCCATTGGAGGGATTGGCAGAGAGGGATGAAGGACACTAAATGCAGGCCAGTGGAGGGATTGGCAGAGAGGGGTGGAGGACACTGAATGGTGGCAAGTGGAGGGATTGGCAGAGAGGGGTGGTGGACAATGAGTGGAGGTCAGTGAAGGGATTGGCAGAGAGGGGTGGAGGACACTGAATGGTGGCAAGTGGAGGGATTGGCAGAGATGGGTGGAGGACACTGAACGGTTGGTAAGGTGGATGGAAAGCTATTAGCTGACCCAAGGAAGATGTATAGATGGAGAATAGGAGAGGTCCAAGGACAGAACCTTGGGGGACCCTGATGGTTAGAGGAGTAGAGAGATAGATTTGTGTTTCATCAGCATAGAAATGATATTGGAAGCCATGGGAAGCTATCAGCTGACCCAAGGAAGGAGTGTAGATGGAGAATAGGAGAGGTCCAAGGACAGAAGTTTGGGGAACCTCGATGGTAAGAGGAGTAGGAGAGGAGGACGTAGAGTTGTGTGACACTGAAGGTGCGGTGAGATAGGTAAGATAGAAGTTAAACCAACAGGTCTACAATTATTTGGTAAAGATTTTGACCCCTTTTTTGAACAAGATAAGATCCTGAGCTAACCCTGTCCTGAACCTGATGTAACCCCGACGTGAACCGCTGAACAACTACTGTATCAATTAGCTGTGGAACCCGAGCTTCAATCCGACCCGCACGTGTGTGAATCGAGACTGCCCTCTCCACAAGGTGACAACACTGTTGTGCGATTTCACTGCAGAATGAAAAGCTTCGTCATCCGATTACAGGAAGGGGAAATATAACAAATCTCCTCGGCGTTGTTGATAGTTTTATTTTTTTTAGGTGTATAGATTTCTTTTTTTAAAGTTTTGTGTTTTTCTTTTCACAGCACTGAATATGGGAAAATCTGGTAAGTGCAAAGCCAAGACTGGAAGCACACTATAAAAAAAAAAAAAATAGTTAAAATAATAAATAGTAACAGTATGTGTGAAGATGATGTATAGATCAATATTTTACTTTGATTATTTTTATTGTTGCTTTTTTTTTCAAATATATTCTTCAGATTTTTTTTTAACATATAAAAAAAGTCATATTAACATATATTTTTACCTATATTTGTAAATGCATTCCAAAAATGTAGATTAAATGTATTTTTAAAGACATACAGTATATTTGAAATTGTGTTTTTTTAAAAATATCTTTCATAGTAATAATAATGCATTTCAACATACAGTATTTTATATATATACTGCCTGTCTTTAAAATACATTTAATTTACATTTTTGGAATGCATTTACAATTATATGTAAACATATATGTTAAAATGACTTTTTTATATGCTAAAAAAATCTGAAGAATATATGAATATATTTAAAAAAAATATTTTTCATATATTTTGCAATATATAAATAAATAAAAAAATAAATAAATTAAAAAAAAGTAAAAAAAAAATAAAAAAAATATATATATATATATTGAATACGGCCAAAATTATAGTATTTCAAATATATGTCAGTATATTTGGGAAGAATATTTTTCAAATATATTTTTCTTCCATGTGGGGGGGGGGGGGGGAGAGTAGTGTTCTGTAGTACAGCAGAGGAGACCTCGGGTATGCCTGATGGTAGCATATTCAGCCCACCACAGAGTTTTGGAACTCACTAGATTTCTGGCAGAGACTGGTATTTTTTGTATTTAAAAAAAGGACACAACCTGGGAAATGTGTATTTATCACAAAGATGTACTGAATATGTTTTTGTTTTTGTTTTTTATTTAACCCTGACTCCAATCTTTGCTCTCTTGAGGAGCCACAGCAGGGGAAGCATCTTCAGCATTGCAGTGGCCCTCATTCACTAAACCGGTAGAGCGTTTTCGCTTTCCTCGTGTGAATGTGGTGAAAATCATAAAAATTCACTTTGCAAAATGTATAGAATAACCAAACCTTCGGAAATTTTTAAAAATGTGCTTGCACGGGGAAAATCCCCTTTGAACGTGAACATGAATCAACCTCGCCGTCGGGTGTGTAGGACGCCTAATCCTCCAGTAGGTGTGTGGTGGTTCCATCCTCCAGATCCTATGTCTCTACTGGGTTCTTTTTTAATTTTCTTTATAGAGTATTAATTAATTTCTTTGTTTCTCTTGATTGTAAAGTGAGTGTCTTTGCTTTTCGAAACAGAAATTCCCATATCCGCATGATTTCATTGTTGAACGTTGTGCTACGTATGTGTCTATATGTGGTCTCCTCTCTTCCATAGGAGGTGCCATCAGACCGGTGGTGACCTTCACACCCAACTGGGGAAATCTACTTTGCACAGTGAAAAATTCTCTTTGAAAGTAAACATGTTCTACTCATTTAGTAAATCAACCTCACGCCCGGGTGTGTTGGGTGGCTGGTCCTCTATATGTGTGGTGGTTCCACCCTCCAGACCCAACGTCTCTACTGAGTGCTTTTTCCTTCTGTTTGTAGAATATTGATGACTTTCTTTGTCTTTCTGGCTTGTAAAGTGAATATTTTTTTTCTGTTTAAAACAGAAATTCTCTCATCTATATTTTTCTCATTGTTGAACGTTGTGCTACGCATGTGTCTGTGTGGTCTCCTCTCTTCCATAGGAGGTGCCATCAGACCAATGGTGACCTTCACACCCAACTGGGGGAATTTACTTTGCACAGCGAAAATTCTCTTCGAAAGTAAACATGTTCTACTCATTTATAAATCAACCTCACGCTCGGGTGTGTTGGGTGGCTGGTCCTCCAATGTGTGTGGTGGTTCCACCCTCCAGACCCAACGTCTCTACTGAGTGCTTTTTCCTTCTGTTTATAGAATATTGATGACTTTCTTTGTCTTTCTGGATTGTAAAGTGAATATTTTTGTCTGTTTCAAACAGAAATTCTCTCATCTATATTTTTCTCATTGTTGAACGTTGTGCTACCCATGTGTCTATATGTGGTCTCCTCTCTTCTATAGGAGGTGCCATCAGACCGGTGGTGACCTTCGAACCCAACTGGGGGAATGTACTACAAGATGATGAAGTGACTCTAAGATGTAATGTGCCGTCTCCTGTATCGGAGGAACCCCGGACCTATCATTGGTACAAAGACAACCGACCAATACCAGGAGATCAAAAGAACCTTCACATAATATCTGGTGTGCCGGGCATTGGAGATTACCAGTGCCGGGTCAGTGCCGGTGATATCAGTGATCCGGTCACTCTAAATGTTACAAACAGTGAGTGATCTCCTCATCTCCATAATTCCATTGTATGATGTCTGTAAATATAACAATCATTTTCGTCTCAGCTTATGTCATCCTGCAGAGACCTCCATCCGCCATTTATGAAGGAGACCCCCTGACTCTGAGATGTCATCATATAAAAGAATATCGCAGCTTTCCACCAAGATATTACAAGAATAATAAAGAGATAAAATCACAAATCCCGGAATCAGAGCTCCATATTCAGAAAGTAAATCTGAGCACAGCCGGACGTTATAAATGTACTAAAATAATGGAATTTTCTCGTAGTTCCACTGGCCATGAGTTCTCAGATGAATTCTTTCTCTCTGTGAAAGGTGAGTCCCTATAACACAGCGAATCCTGGAGATGGTTCAAGGATCTGGGGATGGATGGATGTAGAGGGAAGAGCTCAGTATGGGGATCTGGGGATGGATGGATGGATGTAGAGGGAAGAGCTCAGTATGGGGATCTGGGGATGGATGGATGGATGGATGGATGGATGTAGAGGGAAGAGCTCAGTATGGGGATCTGGGGATGGATGGATGTAGAGGGAAGAGCTCAGTACGGGGATGGGGATGGATGGATGGATGTAGAGGGAAGTGCTCAGTATGGGGATCTGGGGATGGATGGATGGATGTAGAGGGAAGTGCTCAGTATGGGGATCTGGGGACGGATGGATGTAGAGGGAAGACTTCAGTATGGGGATCTGGGGATGGATGGATGGATGATGTAGAGGGAAGAGCTCAGTATGGGGATCTGGGGATGGATTGATGGATGGATGTAGAGGGAAGAGCCCAGTATTGGGATCTGGGGATGGATGGATGTAGAGGGAAGAGCTCAGTATGGGGATCTGGGGATGGATGGATGTAGATGGAAGAGCTCAGTATGGGGATCTGGGGATGGATGTAGATGGAAGAGCTCAGTATGGGGATCTGGGGATGGATGGATGTAGTGGGAAGAGCTCAGTATGGGGATCTGGGATGGATGGATGTAGAGGGAAGAGCTCAGTATGGGGATCTGGGATGGATGGATGTAGAGGGAAGAGCTCAGTATGGGGATTTGGGATGGATGGATGTAGATGGAAGAGCTCAGTATGGGGATGGATGAATATAGTAGGAGGAGATCAGGACAGGGATCTGGGAATGGATGGATATTGTGGGAAGAGCTCACATATTTGAAATACTACAATTTTGGTCATATTCAATATATTTCAATAAATTATTATATATACTGTATGTTGAAATGCATTTTTATTACAAAATATATGAAAAATATTTTTAAAAATACATTTTCAAATATACTGCATGTCTTTAAAAATACAAATCTACATTTTTGGAATGCAATTACAAATATATGTAAAAATATATGTTAAAATGACTTTTTTATATGTTCAAAAAAATCTGAAGAATATATTTAAAAAATATATATATATTTTTAAAAATATATTTCATATATTTTGTAATATATAAAAAACACATTTCAACATACAGTGTATATATGTGTGTGTGTGTATTGAAATATATTTTAACATATATTGAATACGGCCAAAATTGTAGTATTTCAAATATATGTCAATATATTTGGGAAGAATATTTTTAAAACTTCCATATGGGAAGTAGAAGACCAATCGGAGGTTCCTTCCATGATCCATACACATAGCTGGGTTCTGGCTAGCTCTTTGGACCTGTTGGCTATACGGAATCTCCTTTCAGGGAGAAATGTCCCAGATTCAGTATATTTCCATTTATTTGACGATGTAAGTGCAGAAAGTGGTTCAATCATCATAAAAAACTCTTCATCGAGGGAATGGAAACTCACTCCCAAAATGTGTCTTTGTACTGATTTCCTCTTCCAGAGCTCTTCTCTCCTCCGGTAATAAATGTGACCCCGTCCAGGGTAATAGAAGGAGGTGAGATGACGGTGACGTGTGACACCAGACTGGATCCGCTCAGAGGCGGCACAGAGCTGCACTTTGCCTTCTACAGAGATGGACGGACTGTGAGGGACTTCAATGTATCCGATACATACAGAGTGCGGTCAGCTCAGCTGGAGGATTCTGGGAATTATACCTGTAAAGTGAGGACGACGTCTGACACTGTGAGGAAGAGGAGTGATGAGCTCCATATCCAGATCCAAGGTGAGCACATATCATCCAATCACACATTACCCCATACAGTCATATTTATTGTTCTCTATTGATGAGATCAATATTAGAGTACACAGTAAGTATTTAAAAACTGATACTTTATCATCAAGCTTTAAAAAAAAAAAAAAAGTAATCCCCTTA